GGGCGCTATATAAATGCTGTATATTATTATTATTATTAGTAGTAGTATACGAGTGTTTAACAGTTTTGATAACGATAATGTTCTACAGTTTTATTTATACACGTGCTTTTTAAATGTAGCACTGCTCCACAATACCCTCGGGTATGTGTACGTCATTTTTAATAAAGATCCTTTGTTATTAAAACAAGAGGCCCAGATGGCCTGTATCGCTCACCTGAATATGTTTAAAATAATTGGTATGAAGTTAAGATATAGCACTCCATGGTAGGTGCTGTAAGTACATATGATATTTCAGAAAGATTCATCCAGTACTTGAGATATAGCGAGAACAATCTTCAAACAGAGCACCACCCTTATGCCCCTAGGGAGGTCATACCCACCAATTATACAAAATTGAGTTCCCTTGACCCAAGGATGCTCCAGACTAAATTAGGATAAAATCCCTGACTCCCGATGGTCGAAGAAGGAGTTTAAAGGTTTTACCTCTATTTCTCCTATTGGGCCTTGCCCTTCTGTCCCCTGGGAGACCACACCCACTGCTTATACAAAATTGAGTCCCCTTGGCCCATTAGGATGCTCCATAATAAATTAGGATAAAATCCCTTAATCCCTATGGAAGAAGAAGGATTTTAAAGGTTTTCCTTTATTTCCCCTATTGAGCCCCGCCTCTCTGCCTCCAGGGGGTTAGACACACCGTTTATACAAAATTGGTTCCCCTTTACCAAAGGATGCTCCACAACAAATATGGAACAAATTCTTTCATTCCTACAGAAGAAGATTTTTTTTAGAGAATAATTTGCTATGTTTCCCCTATTGGGCCACATCCCTCATTTCCCTTGGGGGCCAGACCCACGGTTTATACAAAATTGGTTCCCTTTCACCCAAGGATGCTTCAGACCAAATCCTTTCATTCCTACAGAAAAAGAAGGATTTTTTTTTTTTATATATTTCCCCTATTGGGTTCCGCCCCTCAGGCCCCTCAGGGGCCAGACCCACCGTTTATATAAAATTGTTCCCCTTTTAGCCAATAATGCTTTAGACTAAATATGGACCAAATGTTTTCATTCCTACAGAAGAAGAAGGATTTTAAACAATTTGCTATGTTTCCCCTATTGGGCCCCACCCCTCAGGCCCCTAGAGGGGCAGACCCACGATTTATACAAAATTGGTTCCCCTTCACCCAAGGATGCTTCAGACCAAATATGGACCAAAGAAGGATTTTAAAGAATAATTTGCTATGTTTCCCCTATTGGCCCCCCCCCCCCCCCTCAGGCCCCTGGGGGGTCAGACCCACTGTTTATACAAAATTTGTTCCGCTTCCCCCAAGGATGCATCTGACCAAATTTGGTCAAAATCTGCTCTGTCGTTCATGACTAGTAGCGTTTAAGGGAAAAGTTGATGGACGGACGACGGACGCTGCGGTATGGCATAAGCTCACCATGGTCTTTCGGACCAGGTGAGCTAATAAAAATGACATGTTTTGCACTCGCATTATCTCGATGACGCTGATATGGATCAATTTTGTTGTGACTATACCGGGGCAGATACATTACAAGATGAAGTACTGGAAAAATAGCACTGCACTGGGAACTTTTTGACGATAGTTCGGATGCATTGCTCTCAAGGTGTTCATAACTAGCACCGTCAAAGTCACATCTCAATACCATCTAGTCAGAAACAGGCAACAGCTGTAAGGTTAAGATTGTGTTATTTCGGTGATGTAAATAAAAAAATAATGGAGAAGATGTCAAAAAATTTAATAAAAATAAGAGAACTGTGACAGAGGTTGTCATTGCAACATTGGAAAAGTCAAAACCAACAGTCCTGTTGGATGTGTGTGAAGAAAATTGTCAACCCCGAACTGAAAGTTAATGACCGAGGAAAAAATATGGTCCGTGATGTTTTTATTCTCTGACAAGCCAATATTTTCATTTTTTGTTGCACGAGGCAAGCGATCTCAATGAGACATCTGTGCAGGACTTTGCCAGACAAAATGATTAATGATACAAAGCATCGATTCGCGGACGATAACAAATCTGCACTTGCCATTTCCAGAATTACAATATTAAATGCTGAGGGAGTGATTGGTTTATAAGAGATTACATAATGCTCAATGCCATTTGAGGTCTTTGAAAGGTTATTTACAACATAACAAAATGTAACAGCGAATCTTTCGAGGTAATTTGCATAACTCCATTGTTAGATTAAGCGGTGAAGGTTTTCCCTTCGGAATCAAATGAATGAGATACCCGGTAAGGACGTGTTCAGTTCTTGACAAGACAAAATATCACGAATCAGCGCCACAGAACGTGTAACCAATACGATTTAGTATGACCTAGTCATATTTTGTAAATCATTCTTCATAAAATATCAAAGAATGCAAAACGAAACAAATGCAGCCTAACACAATTTCTATGGTGAATTCCTAATTAAGTGACTTGAGCACTGCAATGACTTTTCCTGAAAACCAATCTGAACGGAGATAGCATAAACAACTTTTGAATATAAAATTAGACTTTTAAAACGTATACCATAAAGAAAGATGGGCAGATATCGAACCCGGTGGCGGTGTTAGCTATTCAAATTTTCAAACTCACGCCAATCTCAGGTTTGCGAAAAAACAAAAACGTACAAAAGTGTCGACAAAACCATAATTCGAACACTCAAAGTCGATAAAACTAAGGGAAAATATGAACAAAGAAAAGAGTTACAAGGGAAAGAAGACCAGGTGTTCCGAAAGGGTAAGCGTCTTCTGCTTAATCAACGACACCCGCCATGCCAATCCAGGTCGAATCCAAGTAATGTCACGACCTCACACCATGAACTAGTAGTGACAACAAAACTACACGGCACTCTAACGAACATACAAAATAGTATCGACCTTCATATCACTCATAGAAAATAACATCGACCTTCATATCATAGAAAATAACATCGACCTTCATATCACTCATAGAAAATAACATCGACCTTCATATCATAGAAAATAACATCGACCTTCATATCACTCATAGAAAATAACATCGACCTTCATATCATAGAAAATAACATCGACCTTCATATCACTCATAGAAAATAACATCGACCTTCATATCATAGAAAATAACATCGACCTTCATATCACTCATAGAAAATAACATCGACCTCCATATCACTCATAGAAAATAACATCGACATTCATATCATTCATAGAAAATAACATCGACCTTCATACCATAGAAAATAACATCGACCTTCATATCATAGAAAATAGCATCGACCTTCATATCACTCATAGAAAATAACATCGACCTCCATATCACCCATAGAAAATAACATCGACATTCATATCATTCATAGAAAATAACATCGACCTACATACCATAGAAAATAACATCGACCTTCATATCATAGAAAATAGCATCGACCTTCATATCACTAATAGAAAATAACATCGACCTTCATATCACTTATAGAAAATAACATCGACCTTCATATCCCTCATAGAAAATAATATCGACCTTCATATCACTCATAGAAAATAACATCGGCCTTCATATCATAGAAAATAACATCGACCTCCATATCACTCATGGAAAATAACATCGACCTTCATATCACTCATAAAAAGTTACATCGACC